CTGGGGGGTGAGACGGGGGCGAGCGCAGCTGGGGCCGGGGCAGAGCGGGCAGCCGGGGCTGCCTGCGGAGCACGGCAGGCAGGGGCTTTGCCCCAGGCCGGCGGCCGGGGGCCTCCTTTCTTGGCCGGGGCGGGCCCGCACCGGGGGCGGTGCGGGACCTTGCCGATCCTCTGCAGCCTCTCCATCAGTTGCTGAAAGGCAGCGGCAAGGCGTGGTGAGGGGTGCCTGGCACTGCCGCAGGGTGCACCGGACACCCCACTGCACCGCGGTGGGATGCTCCAGCCACCCCATGGCACATTGGCAGGGTGCACCGGCTGCCCCACAGCGCTGGCGCTACTCACGTAGCCCAGGTCCAGGAACTCTGCTTTGTTGGCGGAGCTCAGGAAGGCCGAGCAGGTCACCAGGTGGACCTGTGCGTGGGGGGGTGTCACTGCTGGTGCCCCTCGGGGCTGTGGCAGCCTGGCCCCTGCCCAGCTCCTGGGGCTAGGGCATCCCTGCCCAGCCCAGGGCCCTACCTGCAGGGTGGGCAGCAGGGAGGCGAGGTGGGCAAGCTGCTCCTTGAACGCCTTCTCCTTCTCCTCGTGCTGGCTGCAGCAGAGCGGGGCAAGGCACAGCCTTTGTGGGGCACCGGGGAGCTGTCTGGCCCCAGGGCACCCCAACACACCGCGGGAGGGGGACACACCCCCAGGAGAGGGCTCAGCCTGCAGCCCCTCACCTCTGCACGGCTTTCAGGAGCGTCTTCTTTCTCTCGGAGAGCTGCTCCTGCAAACGGCACGGCCACCTTGTGTCCTGCAGCTGCTACGTGTCCCATGGCCACTCTGTGTCCTGCGGCCACCCCGGTCCCCTCCCGCTGCCCTGGCTCTGCTGTGCCTGTGCATTGGGCACCAGTGGGCACAGGGCACAATGTGCGAGCAGTTGCCCCGCACCTGCATGCGGCCAAAGAGGGAGTTGATGGCTGCCTCCTCCTCGCTGGCACTGTTGCGCACCTCCTCGATCATGGCCTTGAGGAGGACGATGGCCTCGCACGTGGAGGTCTGCAGTTCCTTCACGGCCTGCCGGGGGGCGGCAGGGCGGCTGCAGTGCTGTGGGCAGCACCACACCCCCATGCCCCCCCCTCCGCCGGCCCCTGCCCACCATCACCGCCTGGTCCAGCCGCTGGCAGCCCTGCATGTATGCCGTCTCGATGTCGATGCAGTGTGCACGGCTCTCCCTGCGGGCACGGGCGTCAGGGCACGGGACAGGACGGGGCACGGGGCAGGCGCGGGGCCAGGGCTGCTCACCCCTGCATGTCCCTGAAGCAGTTGATGCAGAGCATGGACTTCTTCTCGGTGGAGAACATGATGTAGGGCTCCTCGTGCAGTGCTGCAAGGGATGGGGCGTCAGGCAGCCTGGCATGGCGTGGTGCAGCACAACGTGGTGCAGCACGGCATGGTGCAGCCTAGCACAGCGCAGCACAGTGCAGCCTGGCATGGCGTGGTGCAGCACAGCACAGTGCAGCCTGCCACGGCACGGCATGGTGCAGCATGGCAGAGCACATTGCAGCCTGGCATGGTGCAGCCTAGCACAGCGCAGCACAGTGCAGCCTGGCATGGCGTGGTGCAGCACAGCACAGTGCAGCCAGGCATGGCACGGTGCAGCGCAGCACAGCACGATGCAGCACAGCATGGTGCAGCACAGTGCAGCCTGGCGCGGCATGGCATGGTGCAGCACAGCACAGTGCAGCATGGCAGAGCACATTGCAGCCTGGCATGGTGCAGCACGGCATGATGCAGCACAGCGCAGCACAGTGCACTCTGGCATGGCATGGCGCAGAGCAGCATGGCGCAGCACGTCACGGCACTCACGGCACTTCTTGTGGATGTCCTTGGTGCGCTTGGAGAGGGAGACTATCTCGTGGCGGGCGAACATCTTGGCACGGTGGGTCTCCTCGCGGCACGGGGCGCAGAGGGGCTGCCCACAGGTGTTGCAGAAGTACATGGTGTCCAGCTCCTGTGCGGGCCGGGGGGGGCAGCTGGCGGTGGGCATGGCCCTGGTGGGGGTCCCCTAGGCATGGCACGGTGCAGCGCAGCACAGCACGATGCAGCACAGCATGGTGCAGCACAGTGCAGCCTGGCGCGGCATGGCATGGTGCAGCACAGCACAGTGCAGCATGGCAGAGCACATTGCAGCACAGAATGGTGCAGCACGGCATGATGCAGCACAGCGCAGCACAGTGCACTCTGGCATGGCATGGCGCAGAGCAGCATGGCGCAGCACGTCACGGCACTCACGGCACTTCTTGTGGATGTCCTTGGTGCGCTTGGAGAGGGAGACTATCTCGTGGCGGGCGAACATCTTGGCACGGTGGGTCTCCTCGCGGCACGGGGCGCAGAGGGGCTGCCCACAGGTGTTGCAGAAGTACATGGTGTCCAGCTCCTGTGCGGGCCGGGGGGGGCAGCTGGCGGTGGGCATGGCCCTGGTGGGGGTCCCCTGCCCTCCGCCTGCTCGCCCCGCTGCCCTCACCGCCTTGGTGCAGCACCGGTCGCAGTTGGCGCACTGCACGTCCTCCTCACTGTCGGCCGAGCTGTCCACCAGGAACTGCAGGAGCCGGTCCACGGGGGGCAGCCCTGTGCCCCCCCTCACCACCGAGGGGTGCCTGTGGGGATGGGATGGGGACGTGGACAGGGATGGAGATAGCGATAAGGATGGGGACACCTGCCCAGGGCAGGCGGGGGCAGCTTTGGGGACACCATGAGCAGTGCCACAAGAGGCTGCCAGCCGTGTGCTGTGTGCCCTGGTCCCAGCATCCTCCCGGGCAGGGTCCGTCCCTTACCCGCAGAGCGGGCAGCGCAGGCGGCCGTCGCTGGCGCGGCCCCGCAGGCAGCTGGCACAGAAGTTGTGGTAGCAGTCGAGCAGGCAGGGGTGCTGGTAGGGCTCATGGCAGAGCAGGCAGACCAGCGGGTGGCAGTTGGCCTTCTCCAGCTCCGAGCAGCTCCCCAGTGGGGAGAAGATGCCGCCGGCCATCTGTGGGACAGAGCGCGGCCCCCCCCGCGCCCCGCTTCACCCCCTGTGCCCGGGGGGGGGCCCTGCGTGGCACCACTTCGCGCAAGCACCGTGGCTGCCGCGGAAAGGACAAATCCTGTCCCCCAGGGCCTGTGAGCTGCCGCCTATTTTTAGGTTATGAGCAGCGCGGCACGAGGCTGCCCAAAACGCGCCCCTTCCCCCGGCACCGCGGGCTGGGGGCAGCAGGGCCTGGTGGGATGGCCCCCGCAGCGGGGTGTCCCCCAGGGCGGGCGTCCCCAGAGCAGGAGCATCCCCTGGGATGGCGTGTCACCCCGAGATCGGGTGTCCCCTGCAAAGGAGCGTTCCCTGCAGCAAAGCGTCCCCCAGAACAGGACCGGGTGTCCCCCAGGAGGGAGCATCCCCCCGCGACGGGGCATCCCCTGCCCTGGGATGTCCCCTACGATGGCAGCCCGGCAGCGAAGGCGGCCAGCTGCCCCACACGCCGGGGGG